GTGCTTACTTGATTGCATTGTTTTTCCTGCTTACTATTTGTTTCTTATTACAAGCTTCACGCGTCTTGATGGCTGGCTTAGCTTGCTAAAACACGCTAACAAATCGCAGGAAACTGTGTTATTTTGCTACGGCGTCTTGTCGAAAATGACGAGCAAACCAGTCAGATAGAAGCAGCCAAAAACGGTACCAATTTGTTAACCGTCTACGTATAAAAAAACTTAACGCTATCATCCACTTCGGCATAAACAGTGATGGAGCGTTTGGGAAAACCTGACGATCGACACTAGCTGACTAAACCGATGGCGACGTAATCACCAAACAACAACACCAAACCAAAGCCACCAACCACCACCACCAAAACCGCACCGCCGTGCCGAATATGGCTACGGACTGCTGTGTTGCAGCTTGCACCCGCCTTACGGCTACCAGTCAGGGGCTTCCGTGGCAGCCTCCAATAGTCGCGCACACCACCTGACACTCTTAACTCCCGAAGCCGTACGCGCCCAACGTCTGCAGTCACATAAAATCGACCCTACATCGATTACCGAAACCGGATTTCGACGATCGACACCAAAAAAGAAGGTAATGATGCCCATCGACATCTCCCGCCGGGACAGAGCGAGGAAACGTAACATGTACAGCGGGGATGTACTTTCCTGTTCGGTTCGGGAACTTTATCCCCACATAAATGAGGGGAAAGTGGTCTAAATCTGGGGATAGACCTGTAATCTGTGCATTTAGAGATAAGTTTTTTTCCGCCCAGCCCAAGCCTATTTTGTCGAACAACACGAATGTGGTGGAGACCGCGACACGCGATGGAGTCGCCGCTCGATTATTCCAGCACCAGATCAGAGAGTAAGGCCCATTTTCAAAGCGACGACAAGGGCGGGACCCACCATTTACATTGGTCAGGACCCCTGAACTAGTGAGGGCCTCTGCATCGGTCCGGGGCACACAGTACCTAACAGAGGGTCCTGTATCGGCCAGTTTAGATGAAGGAGGCTCCATAACTGAAATAGGAGATATCAAATCGGGCATAATACACTTTACTGCATCCAAAGGCCCACTGTCTCAATTAGGAGGTTCTATTTTGTGCTAAGGAGCATTTGCTGCCTCGGAAAACCCCGTTTGAAATAAAAGTCTCCTGTTCTGGATTGGGTGGCAACCGGTATATAGAAGAAGGCAGCCTTCTGAACCAGGATGTCCCTCCCATGAGTCAGAGGGCTACTACTCCGAACTGATATGCCCTGGTTTGGAATAATAAGACCCTTTTCCGAATTTGGAGGCCATCTTTGTGAATCGGAAAAATCACGTCTTCGACTACGGGCTCCCTTTAAACCATAAAGCTGTTTTATTGTACAGGAGGTCCTGTCTTGGGAAAGGGAGGTCCCCTTTGATCGGGAATCTTCTGGTATTAATCAGCCGGCCACTGTTTCGGATCTTAATTGACATTTCTTCACATGGATAAAGGGACAGGATCATGTATCCCTTGTCCCATAACCCCCCTGAGCACGACACTGCCCACGACCCCCCCCCCCCCCCCCCCCCTGTGAGGAGGCTCAAATTTGTCTAGACGTCAGAATCCGTGGCGCCGCCACTGCTTTGAGTGCCACTCTTGAAGGCTTTCTTAGAAGTGTTCTGAGACGAATGTGCTGCACTTTATATGCTCATCGCTGCGCACGACACTAGAAAGTGTGTGTGGGAGGGAGGGGCGGGGGGTGCAGCCGCGCGACGGATGTTAGCGAATCGCGATCTGGGAGGCCGGCAATTATCTAAACGGCCCGGCAGGTTCACCGGAACTTTGGCGATGTTGACGACCGACGAAACATGTCTCATCCGCCGAACCACTAGAATACCCCAAATATATTTCATGCGCCGAACCACACGCATGCTTCATGTGCAGAACCACAAGCATGTTTAAGGCGTCGAACCACAAACATGCCTTATACACAAAACCGCAAACATATTTCATGCGCCGAACCACAAGCTGTCAGGTTACCGCTGGTCCGGGATGGTTCGAATTACGCATTGTTCGGAAAACGGCGGCATAAGCTGTCATACGAGCCATGCCAAAAGCAAGCTATTTGCGAGATGTACTGAATTAATACGTTGAGCGTAGGTGAATAAAACCAAAGTGAATTGCGTTCAAGAATATGTTCGTTAAAAGCGGTGGGTTAAGTCAACATATACATGCATGTTGATGTGTGCGTTTATGTGTAAGGAACAACACTGGGTTGCGAAATAGTTTGGGGCACATCACTAATGCCACCACTTAATTCCGCACCCTACTTCGCTTCGCCACTCGAGTATTAAAACACGCACAAGACCCGCCACGTCCATCCTACTGACTCCACACAGGGCGTCTTACTGCACAGCATAAAGCTGCAGTCTGCATCCTTACACGTGCCATGCTTTGGGACCAGAACATCCGGCATGACAGTGACGACTTGTCCCTGAAGCATTGCTATCAATTCACACGAGGGTGCACACCTTGCTCGGTGTTCCGTCACCAATGGCAAGCCTTCTCAGAATGCTCAGTGCGACTTAGCGTCACCAGCTGAACGGCCAGCTTTCCGGAATCGGCAATGATTTCGGTCGTTACGCAGTAACGCGTACGTGACTCAGATTCACGCATCGGCGGCGGGAGCGGCACGCTGCGTGGCCAGCTGACGGTCTCCCCGAATCAGCTGACTCAAGGCAGAATGAATCAGCTGAGTCAAGGCGGAATGAATTTATCGGCCGTGCACTGATGCGGGCATGAGTGTTGGTGCACGTAGGACCGCGGGGACCATTGTTCCCCGGTGGAGCCGGAAATTCTGGCGAAAACTTTCGCTGAACACTGCCGTTCACACCGAGACGCGTGGTCGTGCCGAGAAGACCGACTAACGAGATTGTAAAGCGCACCGAACAATGGTGCGATACGCTGCCTCACAAGTCCGCGAACTCGGCAAGACCGCCAGGTGCACTGCGCGACGTCCATAACTTAGCTAGTCGGCTCCAGAACACATAACCATTAGCCGGTCAGCGAATGCCCTACGTCTAGGATTGGATGCAGATACGCGGCTCGGTACCGGCCCGCGGGCATCCAGCCAGCCACAGTAAATCTAGAGTCAGTTCCAGCCAACTATCGGATGCGATTCCAGCTAGCTGAGGCGGGTGTTCGAATGACCAGCTGCGCAGTAAGCCGCAGCCACGCACCACAGCGTAAAAGCTGATTAATATCACCGCAATGGCTTATCAGCGTGATTCATCTGTTCTGTCGTCCCACACGCTGTACGAAAGGGACGGGGAGGGGAGGCAGGGAGTATACCAGAACATTCACAGCGAACGATATCCATCCGCATAAACATCGGGGGGCGGCGCGCTCACTGCTCACGCGTCCGCTATACCGATATACGTAAGCAGCGCAAAGGGCGACCAGCGGAAGCAGAGGATGACTCAGGTGTCCCAGCAGAGGCGAGGGGAACACGCCGGTAGGGGAGCGACGCCACCAGAGGTCAAGCGGGTCACGCCCTTAGTGGAGCGACGTCAACAGAGGCCAAACGGGTCACGCCGACAGGGGAGCGACGTCTACAGAGGTCAAGTGGGTCACGCCGTTAGGGGAGCGACGTCAACAGAGGTCAAGCCGGTCACGCCGACAGGGGAGCGACGCCTACAGAGGTCGAGCGGGTCACGCCGGCAGGGGAGCGACGTCAACAGAGGTCAAGCCGGTCACGCCGGCAGGGGAGCGACGTCAACAGAGGTCAAGCCGGTCACGCCGGCAGGGGAGCGACGCCAACAGAGGTCAAGCGGGTCACGTCAGCACGATGGGAGGGGGGATGGGAAGAGGGGAGGAGTCGGTGCGAAGGTGGGGGACAGTCGGGGACACGTCGGCAGATAGAAGGACGTCGGCCGACCGGAGATGTGGCAACATATGGGGATGGACATCGGCAGAAGAGGCATCGGCAAAAGGGACGTCAGCGGCAAGGAGAGGGACACGCCAGTGTACATTGGGCATCGCTTTGAGTACATATTTTGGTTAACATACGCAAGTTATGGCGTTTTGGGTGAGAGCCATTCACGTTTGAAGCCCATCAGGGTTGGGTCCACATGACCTCTGATATCTGCCACTGACCCCTCGATACCGTCCGTATCTGGGCACGCCTGGAATAACCCTGCCCTGTGCGTAATAAAGACATGGTGTAAGTGGGATACAGCTAAAACGACCGTCTCGTGGAGATAATGCACACAGCGGTTTAGGCTTAAGTATATGCCAACTGCGAGAGATCATTTGGTCGTGAAGTTCCTAACACAAAATAGCAGATGCCAGATCTATCCAAAACTTGAGGGCGAAATGCGCACGTGTAACACGGAAACACACGAGTCGTCGTATCTCCATACATTGTTCTTTAGGTATTATGTTGTTCCTACCCCAAAACGTTCTTCGCTCAAACGTCGCGAGCAGACCACGTAAAAATTGGGCGCACAAGATAATCAGGCTGTCTCCAAATTGCAAGACGCAAATTTTACCTTGTTAGATAACAGGCCGTAAAATCTGACCCCTCACCCGAGCGTGTATTGAGGCATACCGCAGGCGACCAAGGACCGAAAAACCCCTCATTGCAATTCGGAGAGCCCAACGCGTTGTTTACCCTTTGCACGCATTATATCACTTCTGTCCGCGGCGCGGGGCGTACCGTGCCATGCGGTGTCAAGCATCCCCGCTTAGTGGTGGGCCGCCTCACCGCCAAGTAAACATGTCAGCGGCTGGGCGCGCCTGCACCGCCGACAGCGCCCCTAGCGACCTCACACTTCCACCGAATCCTAACTGCGCAGAACCTCCCCGCGTTCCAGCCTGCGGCAAGGGCGTCCTCCGCACCTCGCTGCCGCCGCGCCGCGCCGGGCGTGACGGCGGAGCCGAGCGGCGGCCGGCGCCGGCGACGACGCTGACTGGCACCGCTCGTGTGTGGCGCAGCGTCGCCCCCGCCGGCCGCACCCCTTGCATCGAGCCACACAGCAGTCCAGCTCCATGTTTATTTCACGCGCCCCGCCGCGTGACACGCCAAGGCCAGTCCGCCGGCCTGGGCGTGAGATGCACGGTTTCCCTATTGACAGTGGCACACCAGCCGGGCGGGGGCGCGCGGGCCGCCACTCCCAGCGAACACACGCGTCGGTCGGTCACGCGACCGCGCCGCGTCCGCCGCTGCAGCACAAGCGCAGCCGACGGTAGTGGCGCATGCACACACGCACGCCACCTCCGCCCCGACGATAGTGGCGCACGCACACACGCACACAACCTCTGCATCGTGCGCCGCCGTGGTCGACGCCAGCTCATTTGGACCGTCGTCGTCCGCCGTCAGTCGACCTCTGCTTGACCGACGAAGGAGTCACCTTCTTGGGCGAGTGCTGTCTCCCTTCGGGCGGATGTGTCTTCTTGGCCGACGACTGCCGACCTGCCTTCGGCGACAGTTTCTTGGCTGTCTTCGGCGTCATCTTCACGGCCGACTTCGGCGTGGTCTTCACGGCCGACTTAGGCATAGCCTTTACCGCCGACTTGGGCGTAGCCTTCGCGGCCGACATTGCCGTCGCCTTCGCAGTCGACTTCGGCGTGGCCTGCCCGGTCGTCTGGTGTGTCGTGCTCCGGTGGGTGGCCGCGGCTGGGGGCACGCCGGCGGTGGCCACGGCCCGCGCGCTGGTCGGCGCCTGGGGCGTGCTGGCGGCCGGCCGCGAGAGGCGGCGGCGAACGGTGTTGGGCGGTGTCTTGAACGTAACCTCATCGTCGCTCTCGTCCACCTCGAGCACGTGCTGGGCCGGGGCGGTGACGGTCGGCACTGCCGAAGATGGTGGTAGCTCCACCTCCTGAAGACAGCGTGGGGAGATGGGGCACGGCTCAGACATCAACCCACAATAACATAACGAGTCGAAAGAGTATTCATAACCTTGACCAACATTTTACAATACAGTCACTAAGTCCCATCGAACCCTTCATCAGCATTCTGTTGGCTCGCGTGTCGAAAATACTTGTTTGTAACGAACGATCACAGCTTTGTGGACCGGAAGGCACGTTAATGACAAGAAACACAGAAAAAAACGAAAACAAAAGGCGGCCGATAAACGGATATTTTATGTCAATTGAATGTTCTTGGCGGAGTCGGTAGAGTTCTGGCACTGGCAAAATATACATCAACGTGTTGCCGACACTGTTCTTCAAAGCAGGCACATATTTTACATACAACGTATAACTTGCCACAATACAAATTATAATGTGGAACATTCTAATTATTCCCAGCAATGACTAGCACGCAACAGATGACCGAAGTTCGCGAAGTGGATGTTCGGATAGCGGCGTACATAACCCATCCACGGCAGTGGCAACTACACCGGCTCCTAAGACCGGCATAAACTGATGATTCACTGCAGCAGCCGGGAGCCATCCAATCTCGTGATATAAAGCACCATCGCCTCAAAAGTCACAACTTATCCTACATTAGTGTCACTTCTACCTCATTACCTTTGTCTGACTGAGCCCAGACAAAGCTTAAATGTCCAAAGTACTACGGAAGGGAGATGCAATACGAATCCCTTGTTGAAGGTCTGAAGCTCAGCCTCGGCATGCAATAAACTCGTTGAAGGTCTGAAGGCCAGTTTCGGCAAATCATCTAACTACCACTGAATGGTAGTACTGAGACACTTAAGACGTAGCTATGTGAGTGTGCAAAGGCCGAATGTATCACGGGCTGCAAATCCTACGGCGAAGTTTTCTCGATTTGCTGACACACCGTGCTCAGCAAGTGAACATCACAAAACGCGTATCGCAATGAAGAGTCCCCGAGCCCTTCTGGAGGAGCTAACAAGATCAAATGCATGCGCACGCCATGCGCTCAAGCAGCATAAGACGGGTCCCGTCCGCCTCATGACCCCGTATAGGCTCTCGAAAGAGGAGAAACTGACATCATGGATGGTCCTACTACAGTGATGCCTGTGCGCCGCAGAGCCCATGGCCTGATCCGTTCTCAGATGGGAAAAGAAAACAGCGCACATCAAATATCAGGGAACGCTAAAATAAAGCAGCCCAACCAACTACCGTGGCTCCGGTCACGGGCCGCTGGCTCATCCGGATAGTGACTGGTCCTGTGTATGTGTGCCTGTGGGCGTGGGTGGATGTGTTTGCGTGTCTGTATGGTGCTTGTCTGAATCGAGTTCAGAATCCGCAACGTTTTGTGGAGCTGCCGTGGAAAATATGCTGCTTTGATGGTAGGAGAACAAAGCAGCCCAGATATGTTTACCCGGTCCAAGAGACCGCGCCGACGCACGCGATCCGCGTCCAACACGTGATTTGATGCGGATACATTTTCTCGAGAGCACTGCGCCGTCGAAGACGCTGTGACACCGCACGCTTACAGGGCTACAGTGCTCTTAATGGAAATCCTTATGGGTGTCATATGACCATTGCAGTCCGCGCGCCCCGAAGCCCAAATCATGATCACCATTAACAGCAAAAACCAAAAATGTTTTTTCACAATGATGTAATGCCGTTGTTTCACCTCGGGTGATTTCACGTCTCCAATTGACGCCCAAGGGACCGTGGTTTCAATAACACGTCCCCTGCGTGCGCAAACGATCACTAAAAATGCTACATATCCGGTACCAAGGCTGCCCCAGCTTATCAGCCCACAGTATATACCAGGAGCGAGAGCACCACCAGACGTGCGTCACTCCCCCACGCCCCCCCCCCCCCCCTCCCCCGCTCAGAGCAAAGCCCGCACGGATGAGTGCCACCGCAGCTAACCTGGACCAGGCCGCCCTCCAGGTCGTACTTGATACCGAGCTGCGCCAGCTTGACCAGCGTGCGCTGTCGGGCCGCCTCCCGGCGCTTGCGTGCCGAGCGCCGCTGGGCCGAACCTGAAAGCCAAGCCGCACTCAGCCGGGGCGCAGCCGATGGGCGCATTGTGTGTGGCGCTGCGTGCGTCGGACGGGTGCAGCCGGTGGGCGCGCGGCGCCTGACGCACACCGCGCCACACACAGCGCGCCCAGCAGGGGGTGCAGCCGATGGGCGCGATACATCCGACGCACACAGCGCCACACGCAACGCGCCAAGCAGGGGGTGCAGCCGATGGGCGCGATACATCCGACGCACACAGCCCCACACGCAACGCACCCGGAAGTGTCTGCACCAAACACAGCCGGTCCGGACAAGCGGAAACATCTTACGGCAGACATGACAGTGTTCAGTGGAAATTTGCAAACTTTCTCGAACGACGTCAACATGAACAGGAGACTGGAATAATGTCGATACGTGTCAGGTTCAAGAAAAAAGGAAGTTTTGGACATGGACATGTCGTTCGACTACGTCTGCGAATGCCCAAGCTGCTGTGTGCCCACAACATATTTCAGCCGGCCAATTTAAGCTTATTTTCAGTGAAATTATGTATGGACACACCGAATACATTTTCAAACATTCGGAATGAAAAGCAACATCCTCATTTCGCGATGTACCGGAAGAGGCAGATGGCGCGTACAACGAATTAACACGCATCGCTAGTGGTGACATTTCGAGGCACAGCAAATTAAGGAAAGCGCGAGCCCAGCTGTGCCAGACACGCGTCCGTGGGATGACTTCAGGTGATTGAGCCCAGCCCACAGTGATCCACCTGCCTGCAAATGCTTGGCTAGCGAACACTCGCGGATCGGCTCGACACATCACTCCCACGCTAGAGTAGCTACCGGCAGGTGACAGCACCTACGCCACACCAGATGGCAGCACACGTGTAACACCGCCTGACCCAACACGATCCGTCCGGCATCAACACCACCAGTGCCAAAGTAAGACGACGCCCCTCCGTTACGAGCAACGCACATGATCGAGCTCCGTACAGGGAAGTTGCAATCCCACCAGACTACCCATCCAACGTTTGGGAGATCCGTCTCCAAAACGGCCAAGACGGCGCAAAGGGTGCTTTAGGTTAAAAAGGCACTGACTGGAAGGTTATGGCATCTAATCCTGATTCCCAAGCACGTGTGCACAGCACACCATTTGTCCTCTCTGGTGCAGCTCGTATGCGCAGTTCTAACTTCAACATATGCCAGACTCAGACATGTACACGAAGTGCTACCAACTGTTTATTCGCCCCTGATGATGCCAAAAATTTGTTCACGAACTGCTACGTAAAGAACCGATGGTTGGCGGAAAAAGATGGCATAGGGTGTCGGGAGATTCCGACTAACTCTTAGTTCTGTGTGCTTTTCTTCGCTGTGTTTTCCTCATTTAACGACAACTAAATCGCAGTGGGTTCCATGAACGCACAAAACCATAAAAACATGCCGCCCTCCGCCGAAAATGCGACTGTCCGCGCGCCCTGACTCGCTTCAGCCGGCTCACCTTTGCGGGCAGCGAGCTGCGCCACAGAGCGCTCGGTCCGCTTCTGGCCGGGACAGTTGACGCCCACTCTCCGGTTGGCGCTGGCGAACGTGGCCGGCGTCACCTGCTCCGGGGGTAGCACCTTGCCTGCGTGACGTCACATGCCGTCAGCGGCCCGGCCACGATACTGCCGACACCTCCCACGGCCGCCCTGCAGCTGGCTACAGCGGCTGGGCGATGCTGAAGTGTTTTGTCACGTGCCGCTCTTCATATTCCGAATACGGTCGGAGATACGCTAGTAATACTTTGATAGCAGCCAGGTCAGGGTACGGTGGGTTCTCCCTAAACCGGGACAGTACTGGAAAACTCGGGCCCCATTCTGACAGTTCCGACAGCCATGGAAGTTGAAAGAGATTCTCAATCGTTTCCTTTGCAAAAGTGGTCATACAAACCTACTGGGTAATCAGCACCCTATAGCTCACGACGTCTTGAGTATTTCTTGTTTGATAAGACAAACAACTCATGATCAAAACGATACCCAAGCATCTGTTTAAAACGTAATGTACTTACATTTTACGATTTTTTCAAACATCAGGTAGTTGTTCATGGTTTCAGCAGCGATTTTTGCGACCTCCTGATCCATAAACTGCACATATCCATATCCCTTACTGTTTCCAGTCTGAAATACAGGTAATAAATGGCAGGTACATTAGCAAACTGAGTAACACATGCAAGAAAGACCATGACAAGGCATGACTGACCAGGCCATTCAGTTTATTCATTCATGACAGCCCCATTCAGTTCATGGATACTTTCTATAAATTTACTTGAAACTCTAATAATTTACTTTTGAATGCACACACATAGATTACAATTTTTGCACAATGATGACAAAATTTTGACATCAATGCACATACATTTTATGAGATTCATCCACCTTTTTCAGTCTGATGGATAAATTTGCCTACAAATGTCTCTTTAAAATAAAACCCAAAGGGATCAGTGGCAGTGCAAAACAATTAGCAAAGGAAGCATACATTTCACTGAACATTGTCCTTGAACAAATAACTCAAGCCAAATGCTTGCTCCAGATCTTTTCAGGATTGCAACACCTGTCGATCATAGGGACATAGCGATCATTTCTATCAGGGACCTCACCTCACCTCTCCACTACAAGAATCCAAAATTAATGAAGAACATTTGTGGAGAGATTTCCAATTGGAACTCAGTGCTACATCATTGCTTCCATTTCCACCTGCTCCTTTCCACTAGTCACCAATTCAACATCAGGAGCAAATCAAATTCATACATATTTTGAGGTGTAAATTGTGATCCCACACATCTACCTCAATCTGCCAACTGGGCAGCTGCCAGATGCTGTGAGGACACACATGCTGTTCCATGATGCATCAACACACAACCATTTTCTAAATAAGCTGTCCAGCAACATTAAAACCAGCTACCTATGGCAGCTGTAGTTTGAGTGCCTTTGGCAGCCTTTTGGAAGCAATACTTCAAAACTTAATATTTCCATGCTGCACATTTGCAGCTCCTACCACAAAAATAGGAACATGGAGCCTAACATGTAGCTAAGAAGACCAGAGAAAAATAAAGAGGCTGTTAGACAAACTGCAGTGCTACCCATTTCCAGCCTGTACATCTCACCTTTGAGCTTCTTGCCACACAGACCCTTAAAACTTTTCCAAACTGTGAAAAGAAGCCACTCATTTCATCTTCATAAAATCCATGTGGAATGTGAGTGATGTAGATAACTCCTGTCTTCACAAAGTTTCTTGGCTTTTTCTGGTTTTTTGTTTTTGATGCTGGTGCCTGTGAAAGAAGGGATGATAAGTATGCTGCATCATCTAGTTCCATACCTTCTGTAACATAATGCTAACAGATATGATATGTGCCTGTGGCGTGGGCCTGGCACTAGTTTTTTTCTGGCCCACACTTTTTTTTGTGCAGTACTGCACATATTTTCTAGTTTTTGTTTGTGACTAATTTTTGTCATTGTATTGCAATGACTTGGTGGCAATCAATATCAATAAAAACTGGATTGTTTCAAGTTTAAATAATAGAAAAATAATTAAAACTGTGCAAGCTTGTTGTGACACATGTGACAATGTCCTTGCAGACATCATAGTCATGTCAATAAACTAAAAGTATACTGAAACAAAATGACTGTAGACCTGAGCAGAATTCCTGAATGTTTTAAATATAGAGACAAAAATGATACAGGTAATTTGCACCAGTTTCAAAAAGCAGCTAATACCTCTACCCACAAAATCTCAAAGCTATTAAGACCAATTTTGAGGGCCAATGGGCACAATTTGAAGTATGCCAGTGGTGCAATCAGGTGGGCTAAGATATCAGTAAATCTGAGCTTCTAATATTTAAAAAGAGCAGCAAAACACTTTCATAATTTTATATGTTGATGCTCTTTTTGTCAAGCCTGATGCATATGTGCAAACCACTTATGGATTGATTGCAGATGCACATTGCTCAATATAGCATAGGAACAATTAAACTGCAGACATAGCACACCAGCATCCCCATGCCTGATGACATGCCAGGAAAACTGTTTGAACACTCTAAATGCCACCAAAATGAATTACTTAGCAAATGCTCTTGATCTTATAAACAGCTCATTCCTTTACAGGTCAGTGTTTAACAAATTTACCCACTGCACCAGATCGCTCTGCAGTATTCATGTCATGAATTTCATGCTTGCATGTAATAAACCAGGTATGCTATGCTATCTTACACTGAATCTTCAATTGATAAGTTGTGTGATTTTGCCTGCAATGACTTCAGCAATATAATAAATTTCAGCATAAGCTCTGAGCCCTGAAATTTATTACAAAAGTGCACTAAAACATTGTTACTCAGATTTACTGCACACATATGCAAAACTAATTTCTTCTTGCAATGATACTATCACTGTTGCCATTGTTACTACACTGAAAATGTGTGAAGTATGTGTACATTGTAGTTTTGCATACTGCCATTGCTATTGCCTAACTATTTCACCATATTCCTGATCTTGAACTAGTTCACAATGTCTGTCCTACTCTTTTTAGGGTGAATTTGGCTGGGGGAAAACCATTCAGCAAATAACCATTTCTCTGATAATCATCCACACATATACTCCCTTTACATAGCTATGTCTGGATAGTATACCTCATATGTCTTTAGGGTGCCATGCATGGCCATAGCTGTATGAAGCCAAACAAATTGTCTTGAAAAAAACTGAGAGCTTTCAGGGATTCGAACTCAGTTGGCAGCTTCGAAAGCATTAAAAAGCTTCCATCTCTGACAATTTTCTAAGATAATCAGCTGGTCAAGCCCTTGATGCACTTGGTATTGATGGCCAAGCCATCTGAAGTTTCGAAGCACTGTGTGCCCAAAAGACACCATCTCTTCACTCTTATTTTCAGGGTGTAGTATGAGCTAAGACCAATGTACACCAGACACTTCATTGCTTATTAGACGTTTTATTCAGAACTCAAGCACATATTTGCAACAATCAAATTCACTCACTTGGATTCCATCCTTGGGCTGTGTGTTTCCTACTGCGAACTTCCCCATGGCGTCGGTGCGAGACACACAATTTCTGCAATCTGGATCGGTATCAGACACAGAGCTTAACCACGGACTTGGATGGATCAAACGGATCTGATGTCTATACTTGAAATACCGACGGCTCCTCCCTCTCACAGTCTCCCCACCTTATGGGTTTACAGTGTTTGAAGGAATGCAGCATGTGCGTCCATTGCGCACGTTGTATGTCTCTCTCGCGCAACATAAGCAGGATCTGAAAAGCCTGGCAGGGTCTAAAAGATCGGCATATGACGTGTACACGCCAGTTTTCCGAAACGGCTCGTACGATCGCCCTGAAACCCTCACCAATCGATTCCATGTAATGAGATAAGTCATAGAGAGGCAATATCGAGACCTTACCTAAGGTTGCACGCCCCGAAAACGCGAAGGGAAAATTTTACATGCAAATGCAGGCAACTCAGATCTCAGAGCCTCCTGGACCGATCACTATAAAACCTTCACCGTTGCGTGCCCCATTGCTGATTCCCTCCTGCAGTTTCAAATTTCGCGACCCTAGGTCAGGCCAAAAGTTAGTCAAATTTCACAAAGTCCAAAATTCTTGCTGGCAGACAACTTATAGGTCAGAACCTAGCGAACTGATCACTGCCAAACCTTCACTATCGGATGCCCCTATACCTAATTCCCTGCTGCAGTACCAAATTTGGTGACCCTATGTCAGGTCAAAAGTTGTCAAATTTAACCAAATCTAAATTTTTTGCTTGCAGACAACTTCTAGCTCAGAATCTACCACACCGATAGCTGCCAAACCTTACCATTCAGTGCGCCATGTACCCTTCCTCTCTGTGGAAGCTGCAAGTATGGTGCCAGTTATATTTGTGTAATTTCCTTCATGTTTCTTCCCAAGAAAAGGCGCAGCTTGGTTAGGTCGGCTTTATGAGGTTAAATTTCTCCTTAGCGGAGGTGTTGCGCTGAAAATAATGCGCTGATTTATGCATGGTATCGCCACGGTTAACACCTCCACTAAGTAGAAATTCAACCTTACAAGGCTACCCTAACCAAGCTGCACATTTCTTGTGAACAAACATAACGGTAAGGACGTAACTATATATTGCGCTATGCTTGCAGCTTCAACAGAGAATTAGGGTAGATGGCGAACTGAAAAGCAAGGTTTGGCAGCTATCGGCGTGGTAGGCTCTGAGCTATAAGCAGTCTGCAAGCAAGAATTTAGGACTTTGTAAAATTTAGCAACTTTTGACCTGACCTAGGGTCACCACATTTGGAAATGCGGCAGGAAATCAGGCATGGGGCATCCAGTGGTGAAGGTTTCACACTGATCGGTCCCGTAGGCTCTGAGATCTGAGTTGTCTGCATTTGCATGTAAATTTTCCCTTCGCGTTTTTTAGGCCTTTGACTTCAGTTCAGGTCTTCATAGTATTTCCCCATGACTTATCTCATTACATGGAATCGATTGAGGAAGGTTTCAAGGCGATCGGACAAGCCGTTTCGGAAAGTTGGCGTGTATGCGTCATATGCCGGGTTTTTGGACCCTGCCAAAAAGCCGGCATATGAAGCAGTGGCACCCGTTTTCTGAAACGGCTCCTCCGCCTTGAAACTTTCACCAGTTTATTCTGTGCGATGAGTTATGTCATGCAGAGACATTATCGAGACTTGACCAGAGGTCATATACCTTTAAAACGCAAAGGGAAAATTTTACATGCAGTGGCAGGCAGCTCAGATCTCAGGGCCCTCTTTCTTTAAGGATCTGATCCGAACCTTTTAAATGGATGCATTTCTGGAATCAGAGCCCACGCTAAGTAGTGTTTTATGTGCGAGCCGCGACCCTTACCACCCGTTCGCGTGATTTCATGTCAACGGCAGAATTTGGTGACGAAAGCTTCATGTACCGCGATGCTCGGCACGGCCCGTTCTGTCCTCTGACGCTATCTGACCTTTATCGCGGCCGCTGCCACCAGCCGCGGGCCATACCTGTCAAGGTCAAGTAGCGAACGCCTGAAGGGACTCTAATTCACACCGCCATGGGTGAGTGAATCGGAAGGCAGGCGCCCTAACCAGCTGGGCCATCGGGACGGATAACTGAGCCATCGGGACCGATCCACTGCACCGATTTTTGTGAAACCTTCACCATCGGATGCTTCATACCTGACTGCCTCTTGCTGGTCAAAATGTAGTGACCATAGGTCAGGTCAAAAGTCTGCAAATTTCAAAAAGTCCAAAATTCGTGCTTGCAGGCAAGTCAGTTCCCAGAACTCACCAAACCGATCGCTGCAAAACCTTCATCATTGGATGTACCACACCTGATTCTCTCTCGCAGTTGAAACTTCGGTGGCCCCAGGCCACGTCATAATGTGTCTTGTTCTTGAACCCTGTTCGGTGAGCCAGTACGCATCCTTACCTGTAACCGTTTAACGTCGTGCTGAATTTAATATTGGCCCTGTTTTTTTGTTTTTGTTTTTTTACTTTCCCTGAAATTTGTCCACCGTCTGTGTGGTTGTGGTACACTGAGCTGCTCAAGATAAGAGGCCAGCGACATCATAACTACGTACAGCTGTCGCTGTTCTCTGCCTGTACTTGTCTGCGGGGCCACCTGTGCTCGTTCCGTACGTGTCCACGTAGCCGCCGTGCATAGGACGTACCTAATATGCACACACCGTAAGGCTCGGACCGTGCCTGTGTGCAGAGCCGCCGTGCTCGGTCCGTGCCTATCTACAGTCCGCAGGACTCGGTCTGCACCTGTCTGCGGCGCCTGCCGCGCTCAATCTTTACATGTCCGCGGGGCCGGCCGTGCTCAGTCTGTACCTGTCTGCGGTGCCTGCCGTGCTCAGTCTGTACCTGTCTGCGGTGCTTGCCATGCTCAGTCTGTACCTGTCCGTGGGACCTGCCGTGCTCAGTCTGTACCTGTCCGCGGGGCCTGCCGTGCTCAGTCTGTACCTGTCCGCGGGGCCTACCGTGCTCAGTCTGTACCTGTCCGCGGGGCCTGCCGTGCTCAGTCTGTACCTGTCCGCGGGGCCTGCCGTGCTCAGTCTGTACCTGTCCGCGGGGCCTGCCGTGCTCAGTCTGTACCTGTCCGCGGGGCCTGCCGTGCTTAGTCTGTACCTGTCCGCGGGGCCTGCCGTGCTCAGTCTGTACCTGGCCGCGGGGCCGGCCGTGCTCATTCCATATCTATGCGCGGGGTCGGTCGTGCTCATTCCATATCTATGCGCGGGGCCAGTCGTGCTCATTTCATATCTATGCGCGGGGCCGGTCGTGCTCATTCCATATCTATGCGCGGGGCCAGTCGTGCTCGGTCCGTTCCTGTGCGCGGGCCCGACAGTGTTCGGTCCCTATCTTCCTGTATAGTCACGGTCAGTGACATGCCACGTATGTGGCGTTCCTGAGACTTCTGTGCACAAGGCTTTGTTTCACGCCAGAAGGTCATGTAGCTAGAATCACAAATAGCCAAGTCGGGGTGCAGAGTGTGACATGTACCTGTAAAACAGTTTGTTTAGCCGGGATGACGTCCTCTTTACAAATGGTGAATCTCTGTGCCTTTCATACGAGCGGCGATGCGGCCCAATAATTATACTTGCTCCACCCCTGATCATAGTTTGCTCGGCCACGACTACTCAAGCACCGCAATGATGTGAACCCACATATTGTCATCTGTGCGAAGCGTCATGGGCGGCAGGTACGTCCGTGTGAAACTGGTTTGTGGTTCGCCGTGTTTCGAGTTTGGCCGCTACTTGCTCAGTCTTCTGTGGCTGCATTTGTGACTCTTAATAAAGTATGAATTTCCCTTGTTCAATACAACTTCCCTGTGACACCGCGCTAAAAAAGGTCACCAATAAGATACTCGCAAAAAATACAACAGGCGCTCAGCAAAAGACGCAAGCCGACCCCTGCATAGACGCAGGGGTTACTTTTTCCATTCAACGCCTATGGCGTCAATGGTAACTTTTGAAAAATAGTTGGGTGGGTCATTTCCCTTCCTAAAAGGTGCTCGGACCCTTGCGCAGGCATACTCTCTTCTCACGCCGATTGAATTTTACGGCTTTGCTGAGTATTACCTCGCAAAGCACATGGTCGTGCTTGTCATTTCTTTATAACTGATCGTGCGCGGATATGTGCAACCATCACTAATAACGTTCTTTTTAGTGGTAAGAAAGTGCCCCGATGTTCAGGCTGCCTATCTCGAACTGCTGGCGAATGCACGTTTTCGCTGATCGCATTTTAGCCGATAGCCATGTAAACCTGTAATTAGCACATCATCATGCTCCCATTGAAATATATGTATTCGGCTTCCCTACTATATACGCCCACCTACAAAAGGTTTCTCATTATCGGTACGAACGTAGTCGATGTTTCGGGCACCCATGTCTGCAGCAGTTCTCGGGTAAGCGTGTTCAATTTCCACACCGATTTTATTGTTATGGTTAACATGATAACCCTGCGAAACACATTATCATATTTGGCATTAACTTACGTGAATTGCTCGCTGAGCATGTGTAGCTTCTCCTAAAGATGTGTTAATTATATTCAAAACGAAGGAAGCCTATGCCACGGCCGTCTTATCTCGCATAATTATCGTGCGCAAGTTTTCGATTCTCATGTCACTGCATTTTAAAGGGATGTTCCATATTTGAATGGGGTTTTAACTTTGGAGATCATTCTGTGCATTCTCATAGTCCTACGATTCTTAAGGTTTACAACCCCCTAGTTTTTTAGCTACACGCCCACGAACACACGCAGGCTATTTCTGCGGACTATTTCGAGGCCATTCAGGCATAATAGATTCAGCATGATATATACCTCTAAGGGCCTTTGCATCGACCAGGGGACTTCGTGCCCGTGTCGTCGGAATGTCGGCCGGTATGCGCCCCGTGCTGGGACGGAGTAACTTAAGCCATCGACCGGTGAGAATAATGCGCCCCCTAGTTTTCTACCCACGGATCCCCTTCCTGGAAAAAGGTAACGTATCTCATAAGTGTTCAATAGAGCGGATTGAAATGACTTTAAATATATCAAAAAGTTCAATCTAGCTTTACCCGCGGATGTCCATCCTTCTACACAATCGACTATTGAGCCCGCGAAGCTGCGAGGTAGCCTGCCTTGTGAGGCGAAGGTGCTTCGCATAGAGGTCCTGGTATTTTACCTTTTTATGTGAGGTGCGTGTGTCTGGGGTGGGTCCTGCGCTACACAGAAGCGAAGGCTGCAA